CCCCAAAACCCCAAAACCCCATTCAAATAAATCTAGAAAATAAATTAAAATGTTAAAATAATTAAATAAATAAGAACAAGAAAAAAAGCTTGAAGATTATTTCCACTAATTTCAAATGTGTGTTATCAATAATTTTCAAAAGCCAAAAACTTGTCTAATAAGGATATTATCATTTAATAGTCTTATCATATCACTATTGTTGCTTTAAATTTCAATCTTCATTGAGTAAATATTTGTTTTCTGAGATAAAAGTTTTTAATTCATCTTTTGATATTTGGCCATTTCCATCTTTGTCAAGAGATTTCAGGAGTTCAACTACTTCTTCATCATTTAGGGATTTTTTGCTGAATTCCTTTATCAATTAGGTTCCTTACTTTGCATCAATATAGTCTTTACTATCATTGTCATATTTAGCCCAGAGCTATTCAAAGATTTCTCTTTATTTTGGTTCAAGGAATCTAGTGAAAGCATCTTTGGGATACTTATTTGAGTTCAGCTGAGTTAATTCTTCCTATACTTATTCATGGAAACCAAGAAGTCTCATCATTAAGACATAGATCTCTTACTTTGACAAAAGACCATCACCGTTGAGATCAATTTCTTTAATTAATCTTTCAATTTCTAAATCATCTGGAATATCTATATCAATTGCATCATAACTGTCTCTTACTGCTATAAAGGATTCTTACTTATGCAACTTTCCTTGCTTTGTTGGATTATATTTGGACCATCTTTAGTTTACGAATCGTTTAATTATGCAGCTGTAATGATCAAAATTGGTTTTGGCAATCTTTTGTAATTCATCAATGTAGTCCTCATCAAAGAAATCACCATCACTATCTTCTTCCTCCTCAGCTACTTCCTCTTTTTATTGCTTTGGAATGATAATTTCTAGTTCTTCTTGAATGCGATCAAATCTCTTCTTTTGCTCATCAAATTTAAGATTAGTGTCTCTGAATTAAACTTTTTGACTTTCGATGATTAGGTCAATTTTATCTCCAAGTTTATTCAATACTTCTGGAGACTGTCCATTTTGTTGTTGAAGCAAAGCAAGAATTTTTTGGATCTAGCCCTCCCATTCATTTCCTTCTTTTCTTTGAAGTGGAGTAACATAGTGGAGATAACCTAGTTAACCCTTTCTTCTATTCCAAAATTGAATTTCCTCTTGCTCAAGGATCATTTGATTAAGCTCGAGGAAATCTGAAGGTAGAATGTCTGACATAACTCTTGCATAGGTATCTGACATTATAGCAACCAACATGTTTAACATAATCAATGGAATTAATACTGAACCAATAATGAACAATGTCCAGTTAGCTGCTGTGTAATTGTCAGTTTCAAAATCTCCGAAGGTAAGTCTGTAATTGTGTTTAAGAGCCTCAAGCATGCTGATGTCATTGATAACTTCATAACTAAGAGAAATTCCAAGGACAGCACCGATTAATACAATTAGGAAAGGTATCATATCATAAATAACCTCTACCAAGAGTCTAATGAAAATTCTTGTCTTTTGGAAAAGTCTCAAGAAAGAAAGTGCTCTAACCCAAGATAAGAAATTCAGAGTACCAAAAAGTTAAAGCATGGTTGAGCTTTTATTCCAGTCTTCATACTTAAAAGCATTGTAAATGAAAAAGATCAGCAAAAGCACCCTAAAGAAATCGAATAAATTCCAAAAGTCACCTAAGTAACTCATTTTATTCAAGAAAATCTAAAGAATCTCAAAACCCATGAAATAAATTCCAAAAGCAATAAGGAAATAAAGTGAAATCTAGTGATATGTTTGGATAAAAGCAAATAATGCTGCCATGTAAAGTAAGTAAATTATTCCGTTTATGTAAACTATCTTTTTAACCAAGTCCCATTTATATGTCAATATTGATTATACTGATTCTGATCTAAATGCTGTAAGCTCACTTTCAGAAAGTGTTCTATGGAAATTAATACTAGATTACGAACCAGGTTGCATGTTGAAAGGGATTTGAATAGACTTGAACACTAAAGGTTCATCATTCTCCTTATCAGCTACTATCATGTGCTTTATATCAGTAAAACTGATAAAGTTATTTTGAGACTCACGGAAAGATATAGGATTAGTTATCAATGTTCCAAATGAAGGAATATATTCTCCAATCTATTCTTTAACTGCTGAATCAAAGAACTCTTTTAAATTTGAGGGAGCGAATTCTATTAGGTTTATAATCTTTTCCTCTGTTAATTTTCCATAGAGATGAGGACTATTCATAATGTAATCAAGTATGATTGTTGCACTCTCATATGATTTCTTTTGTATGGCATAGTCCAAGGGAGAATTTCCATTTACATCCTCAATATATGGAGTTCCCATTTATAATAACTTTTAGACAATGTCAGCCTAATTAAAGAAAGCATAGAAATGAGCTAGGGTCAGTTTGAATGGGGAGATTTAAGTTTTGTAAAGATAGGGAAGATACTTTTTCTCATCAAGAGACTTCTTTCCAACATTTCCAATAAAAAGTTTCATAAGATTATTGAATTTTCCTGTCATTTTAATGTCAGATGTATTGACTTCTTAGATGTTCTACACAACTTCTTCCTCTTATTCAGTACTGGTAAAGGTGAAATCATCTGAGAAGCTAGAGAAGATTTGATCTGACCAAGATTTATAGAGTCCATCATGGATAATAGCTTGAACTTATCTTGAACTCGATGTTACAACTCCAAACTCTTCTTGAATAGTAATAAGAGCTTTCCATTTTGATGTTTCCCAAATAATAGACTCTGAGGTTGATCTTGTGATCAAGAATTTTCCATCTTTAGTAAAGCCAACAAAGTTAATAATCTGTGAATGCTTGCTGATAATCTGAAGAACTTTACCCTCTTTCAGATTACATACCCAGAATGAACCATTGTATTAATTAGTCTGGATGAGTGTAACTCCATCAGGGGATAACTCAAAGTTAACCCAACCTGAGTCCTTAATGATATCAAAGCGCTTCAATTCTTATGTTTCATCAAGCTTAAGGTCATATTCAAAGATATCTGCACCTGATCCGTTTGCAAATAGGCGCTAGTCATCTGAGGCAAGTACAAGGAACAAAAAATAGCCATTGTTGTGTTAAAATCTACACAGTTCCTATTTAGTTTACAAATCCCATTTGTAGATTTATCTTTCAATAGCACAATACATTATTTTATCGTCTGATGTAATCACTATGTCTTGTACTTAACCTCCATGATTATAAGTATGAACTTACTATTGCTACGAACAAGACCATTGGACGATTTCACTTGATTCTTTTTGGAAAAAGATGTACTCTGAATCTCTAGTGCCATTTAATGCTCTAAGATTGTATCTAAACTGGCAATTTACTTTGTGTGATTCAATCAGCACTCTACTCCTTAGATTCCAAAGTTTCAGAGACGAGTTTCCATTCATTGTTACCAAATATTCATTGTTCGGAGTTACATAGCAATTAGAAACATTCTTCAATTCAACTCTGATTCTAAATGCATCAGCATTATCTTCCAAGACCCAAAATGCTTGCATAGGTCCCTGAGTTTTGCTGTTTAGATGATTGCAAGCGAGAAGGATATCGTTATCACCACTCAAGTGAAGTGATCTTATAGGGAATTATGTTTTTAGTTTAGCAAGGGAGACATACTAATACATAGACCAAACGTTAACAAAGGTATCATAAGATCCAGTGAATAGTAAAGTTTCATCTTCTGATAAAACCATGGTCTCAACACCTTCTTCATGGAGTGTTAGGGTGGCCAAGCACTCTGACTTGATCCAGTCCCATACTTTAATCTTTCTATCCTTTGAGCAAGTTATCACTCTCTTGGAATCTTTGGTTACTAATATTTAGTTTATATAGTTAGTATGCATTGATGTCAAATTTTGAACAACAGAACCATCAAACAGGGAATACATGCATACTCCTTTGTTATTTTCTCCTCTGATAAAAATGTTTAAGCAGTCATCAGAGATTACAACTAGCTTATCTGGGTCTTCTCTAAGCACACCAGATGACAAGTCAAGTTTGGTTGACCAAGACTGTTCAGGCTTAATGATATTAAATACATAGAGCATTTCAATTTGATCGATGTCAACATATCCTACCAAAAATGTCTCATCTCTTGATATTTTAAGATGAGTAATGGGTGAGGCTCTATCTATCGGCCTAATTAACTTTTAACTTGCAGAAGAGATGTTCTTGGTAGGGAATTACAATATTTTACCATTTTTGAGACTCACATATAAATTTTTATCATCAGAGACAACCGCCTTTACCGCACTTCTCAAGTTTACTTATTATAGTACCTATTAAGTATTGGGATCACGGCTCTAGAGTGTTCCGTTGGTATATCCAATAAATAGCTTTGATCCTTTTGGAGTCTCATAAAGAACGCTTACTCCCTTCACATCCTCAGTGTAGACTATCTTATTACTTAGTAAACTCCAAAGAGTAATTTTTCCATTTTTAGAGTAGTTTAGAAGATTTCCACTTCTTGTCAAAATATAAAGAGTAGCTTGACCTTCTAGTTCGTTGCCATTCACTAATTTATCTCCGATCGTTTAAATACTAGTGAAAACATTGTTTACTTGTGAGTTGATTGGAATAGTTTGAGGTTTGTTAGATTATGATAGTACATTGTTTAAACCTTTAAAGTCAAGTAGTGGTTCAGTCAATCCTTTATCAGTCATTTCTTCTAGAGTCTCAAAAAATATCTTTTATTTATTTAATATTTACTTAAATCAGCAGCCCTTTAAATATTGCGATGATATTCTAGAAATTTAATAGTAGATATACAAAGCTTCCATAAATGAACTTCACTTTCAAGAGAGATAACTGATATTATTCTTAGCATTTATTGAAAAGATGATTGAAATAGAATTGGGAAGAAAATTCGGCACGATTCATTCGCATTCTTTCAATCAGCTAACATTTATAATGATGTATATTTTCCTTTAATAATTGCAATTACCAATAAATTAAAAGAAATGGAATTATCAATCAATGATCTCTGAATAACTTTAACACTTTAATGAGGGAAATATCTTATCACTGCTTTTATATATCACACGAAGGAAATATATGATTTTTACTTAAATGATATATCAATGCAAGGTAATGCAAGCGATAATACTTAGATTTTCTTCATTCAAGTGATGTTATATTAAATGGCATTTAGAGAGGATTTTATATATATTATATGATGGAGAAGTAAACTTAGATTTTAATGGTCGTTCAATATCTAAAAATAAAACTATTTCAAATATTCTATCAAGCTGATAAAGCAACTTTAAGACACAAAAGTGATATGATATACATGGTATTCACTAATATACCAAAGTTGATTTTGCTTGAGAATTTATGATTGTTTAACTCTAATAGACACTCTATTAATAATTTATTATTTAAGTTTTCACATAATTTAAGCATAATGATAATTAACTACGAAACTAATCCATCAGCAATTCAATTTCTTGCTTATGGGGTTTTGGGGTTTTGGGGTTTTGGGG